CTCCTCCTCCTCCTCCTCCTCTGTCTCTCTCTTTCTCTCTCACATCTCGTTTTGTCTCATCTTCGCCGTCAGCCCCCGAAACGGGGCGACTCTCTTCGCGATGGCGTTTGACACTGCCTGTATCCTGCCTCACCCCCACCTGCCGGCCTCGTTACCACCCTGTCCTTACGTAGCCCAACTTACGTACGCTTAGCCGTGCGTAGTGGCACCGATATTTCGTTACGCGCCATTGCCGTCTCGCCGTCTTGCCGTCTTATCGTTAAATGACGAGAACGGCCGTATTAAACGAGTTAAATTCGACTGGATGTATCGCAGCGACAAACTTGTAGTCTCTCGAGGTTAAGTTTTCGATCGAGGGAATGCAAGACCAATCTAGTGTTACGCGCATCGTCTAGCATACAGGCTGTTTCTAAATCAAGCGACCACATTTCAAAAGCGCATTCCATTTACCTTGACAAAAAAGAAAGAAAGAAAAATTAAAAAAACAGACATCATACAAACGTGGTTGCGCGAAAAATCGTTCCATAATTTAATTAAAACAATGTTTTTTACGTTTAAAACATTTCTATAGTTTTCCAGTCATTGATTCCCGCTGAAGAGAATCCAACCGCTGAAGAGAAACGGAAACTCTCCCGAGGATTCCCTTTTCGGTCCCGAAACGTGCTTTGTATTGTATTGCGTACATCTGTATTAAACCTTGATAGATATGTGACAAATTGTGCAATATTTTGACATATATTTGCACTCTCACAACTTCACGCCGACTTTTATCTGCCCTTGATTTATCTATTGTTTCCATCTATTTGCGTTGAATGTTTCATAATGGTGCTACCGTCCCTAACGCCCACAGGAACGTGACATCGCAACAGACACTTTTGTTGATTTTCACAATAATTTTTAATAATTAACAATTATTAATAATTCACAATAATTATTTGGCAATAATGCTTTTTTTTGTACAAAAATACACAAAAATCGCTGAAAGTTTCCTTCCGTTCCGATACGTAATCTAACGTATGTTGTCAAGTAAAGTCAACGACGGCTCCCGATGGCTTCCAATGAACGATGGAGTTTTTCTCGCAAATGTGTAATGAATACTACTTTATATAGATAGGTCCTCGATGTGTCTTCGCAGAAAGAAAATCGCGAGGCAGCCGTGAAAATGGAATTATCGACGGTACAAAACGATACGAGCGAATTAACTGTGTGACTACGTAAGAGATACGTACATCATCACGCCGATATATCAGCGACGCGGTAAAGTGGCAATTGAAAAGAAACGCGCTTCGACCTCGCGGTCGAATAGCCGTCGGAAAGTTTTTTTTTATTTTTTTTTTTAATCATTAGCTCTCCAAGACGTAATCGGTGACGGTATCTCTTTCGCCATTAATTCGTTCTCACTCGCGGATCAGTGTATTATCAGTCGCGTTAATCTATAGGCGAATATCTTTTAATGTCACTTGTAATTCCGATGCATCTGTGTCAATATACTGCAAAGTGTTTACCTTCTCGACGGCGGTGTCCGAATGTATCTTTAGATTAGAGCGATAAATGGCGAGTGCAGATTGACGTCTTT